AATGGCTTTGGGTCCGAGTATTTTCCTCCCATGCAAGTGCTCTGACAATTCTTTAACTTATATTTTTATAAATTATTCATGTATTTTTCTTTATTGAATTAAAATAAAAATAATTTTGTTGTTTGTCTGTAAAAAAAAATTTTTTTTAATTCTAAGTCATGTGCCCACTAATTTATCATTGGTTCAAATTATTTATAGAAACAATTAATTGTAACAATTGCGATCTAAATCAATAAAAAAAAAATTTTTTTTTTAAAAATTCATTTTTAAAACTTTTTTCTAAACAAAAATGACAACAATCGAAGAGATTAGAAAAGATAAAGAGTTGAAGAAGTTCAAGGAAGGGGAGGATGATGGAATGTTGTTGAAGAAGTTGAGGGGAGGGGCGTTAAGAAATGAGCTTAATGAAAGGGAGGAGCTAGAGAGGGTGAGACTGGAGGAAGAAGAGAAGAGGTTGAAGAAGAATGTAGACGATTGGAAGAACCAAACAATTAATTTACAAAATAAATTAGCCAAATTTGGTAAAGGGGAAGGTAGTAAACAAATTGTGTAAAAAAAAATACAAAAAAATTTATTTGGTATACTGTTTATTAATTTTATTTTTTTTCCTATTATTCTTAGCCATTGGCTTTTCAAATAAAAGGATAAAACTTGAAGGTAAGATTCTGGACTTATGTTTTTATATAATTTTTACTTGATCTTTATAATGTTAATATTCTTTTTTTTCCCTTCACATAATGATTATTCATCACTTATTTTTTTAGATAACACAACAAAATTTCTAGGAGAACTCTTGCATCCTTTTGATGAAGAAATTAATTGTAACAATCTTGAACAATTCCACTACTAGTTAAATTGCCATCTCTCCCCAATTATGCAGAAAACTTTTCTGATAAACTTGATTCAGCATTTTCATGTCCTTTTTATGCTCCTAGATTATGTTCTATTGTTAGTAATGTTATGGGCAAGTCCTTTAGAGAACAGGTTGGTGGAGAAGCACATACTTCAGATACTATCAATGATCACATGATGGATGTAATTGATCTTGTCCAAGAGTATGCTCTTGGTTGTAGTAACTTGGATTGGAACCGTAACAAGGTGATTAATCCTATGACTACCAACACAGAAAAAAAGAGGGTTCAACCAGATGTCACAGTCTATTATAATAGAGTGCTTACAATGATGGGTGAGGAGAAAGATGTTTATTATCGATTGGAAGATGCAGAAAAAGATTTAGATGAATACTTTGATTTTTGGAATCCACTTGCCTTTGGTAGATTACCCTTTGTCGTGGCTTTTGCAGCAGCTGGCACAAAATTACAATTTTATTATTATTATGCAGACAACATAGGCAATAAACCAGTACATGTAAAAATTGGTACTCCCCTAGCACTTGGAACTCAAAATTGATTATACAATTATATGGCACTTCAATATACAATCAATTTTATCCAAATTCTTCAAACTTTGGATCATCATCACTATTTACAAATTCCAAAATTAAAATTATTTGATATAATCCAAAGAACTAATGGTACCATCATATTACTCCCCCAAAAAATCATCAAAAAAGTAAACACAAGTTCCATTGCTGATATAGATTTTCACAAAGAATTTTATGATAATATTTATCCACACTTAGGACAATACAAAAAACTTAATTACAGAACTACTAGAAATTTGGTACATTTAGAATTGGCACCAGTTGGATATGAAAAAATTCCTACAAATGAGGGTGAATTGAAAATTGCCATATTTGATATACTTGAAATTGTAAAAAGGCTTCATGAAATGAAAGTTGTCCACTGGGACATTCGCTGGGAAAACATTATAAGACTTATAAATGATAGATGGATATTGATTGACTTTGAGGAAGTTGCCAAAATTGGATAATTAAGGTATAGTAGTGACAGACTAATTGAATTGACTTAAGCATGCAGTTAAACATTATTGACAAAATAATTATTGCAATTATTGTTTATAGACTTGCATTAAATACTGCAGCTCCAGAATATATAGATGGAGAAGATTCATGCCAAACAGCAAATGATATCTGGATGATTGGAAACCTTTTTTCTAAAGTTACTTTTTCACTTTCTTTCTCTGCCAGAAATTTTTGGAATAAATTGACAAATCAAAATCCTTGTGATCGATTAACTGCAGATGATGCTTTGAAAGATGACTGGTTAAAAGGAATAGAAAGATAAGATATTATTAAAATTTTTGAACTATATTTCACAGTTTATATCTGAAATAGTGCTTTCTTATTTATATCAATTGATAATAATTTGGAATCATGAATAATTGCATAGGTTTTAAACAAAGGATTCTTATTCTTGAAATTATTATATTTATGTCATGCAAAAAACATATCCACCGATTTCTGCAATGTTACACGATTTCAGGCTAATTTTTGGGGCACATTTCGTTGTTTTTTGTTTTGTTTTAAGGTACATTTTTGACATGTTACACCATTCTTTATCTATGAGATTCGACAGTGAATTGGATTTAATAGTGAGTGAATTGGATTTTTGTAACCCCTAGATTTATATATATTAATAT